TTATAATAGCTTCTACTGCGATATGTATATACTTTTGATATAATTTTGCTACTATTCACCAAAGCGAAAGAAGTATAGACTTCTAATTGTGAATATAGAATTTAGTTTTTCGGGTAAAATTTAAACTCAACTACGTAACTTTTTCAAGGGTATACTAGGGAGGTTTTGAGCATCTACTATCTGAAAATTACACTGGGAAGCTCTAAAATCTCGCTGGAAGCAACCGATACTGTACGAACGTTGATAATTCAAAATAATAATAGAGCACATGATCCTTTTTAAAAAATTATTAAATTTATTATGGGTTTAATAGCCTTTATACATGTGAAATATATAAGGTTCCACCACGTGATTAAATTAAATGGTTTTTTTTTTGATATTTGAAAGTATGAAGGAAAAGTTCTAAAAATGCATGGCAAAGTGTGAAAGAAAAATCCTTTATGTTTACATGTATTTTTTTTTTTTTTTTTTTTAAATAAAAGATTTAATATGATTAGTAAATATATAAATTACTAATTAACTTGTTGATGCATAGCTTCCTCTCCCGCTTTCTATGTCAGTGAATATAGGTATTCTTCTGCTTGCATATAATCCTGACATCGGTACCCTTCTTTCACCATTTGTATCACCGTAATCATCATCATCATATTCTTCGTCGCTATTATACGATTCTTCATTCGTTTCAAGTCTTGGGTTAAAATCCCTCAGTCTATTACTTCTGCTAAATCTTGTGCTCATAGATCGGTTCACCCACCCTCTCATTATTAAATCAAATTTTGATTTTTTAGCTTCTAATTTTTCGTCTACACCTGCTGTATCACTACTAGATTCGATTATATCATCAGGATAGAGGAAGAGTGTATGTATTTCTTTGATAGCACGGTATCCTTTACAATTAGCGACGTGCTCATTTTCAACACGGATGATACACCATATAAAACGTCTGAAAAAATTAAGACGAATGAGTTTTGAAAGTGATGAAAAAATCTACAATTATTTAGTTAATTACCTCAGAGCTTCTAAGGAAGCTACTAAAATCCCCACCCAATACATGTCGGCAAAAGGGAAAATTACAAACAGAAGCCAAGAAAACCTTAGGATCAAATTGTTATAATGATTATAATTTAACATGACAAAATTTTTGCAAAATTTTAGCTGACGATTTTGTCATAAATAGTTT